CTGTATTGGCAAGGAGTAAGAATAGCAGATGTAGTGGGTCTTTTCACAGAATCCTAGGAATAGAGTTGGAAAGGACAAGCTTGCACTTACTGTGTTAATACAAAAAGAAAAGGAGTACTTGTGGCACCTTAGAGACTAACCAATTTATTTGAGCATGAGCTTTCGTGAGCTACAGCTCACTTCATCAGATGTATACCGTGGAAACTCTGAAACCTGTGTTAATACAGATTCTCAAATGAGCACGTACATTTAATGTAAAATGAGAGAGATTTAAATGTTGAATAAACAGCATATATAGGGTCTCATTGTTTGTGTACTACAAATAAGATATGCACTGGGATTTCCGCATATACAGTGAGTTTGTGCTTCCTGAGAAATTTATCCACCAAACATTTTGGATATTGGATTATTTGTACCTGCAGCATACCGAGGCTTGTTATGACTTTCAGAGGCTAATTATTTCACAGTATGATATTTCTACATATTCTTTGCTTTGTGACCTTCCATTTCCTTTAATGATGTCATTATAATGTGGTCAAATGTTTTGAACCAAACGGCTGCTTTTTCATGACCGGATCAAAGAATGTTAAAGAAGGAAATGCTAGTAGCAGTTTTGAATTCCACAATCTATAAATAGCCCTCAGAGATCAAATAACTTCTTAAGTTTGGAGGAAAGATAATCTGTTGAGCTTTGTGAACTAAATGCCCTGGGGAGTGATCTTCCCCTTTTGTGAGGCGTGTATAGTTGCTGTGCTAAGTGGGGAGGGGAGGTCGATATCTAGAAGAGGGAGACTGATGATTTGGACATTTTAGGCCTGGAAAGGTGGAAGACAAGGTCATTCCTTCTAAAGACTTAACCAGGCAATTGATGATAGAAAAGAGAGGATATAGAACAGTGCATGTCTCAATAATTTGGCAATGTTTTAGGAGATGTGTTACATATTTTTGTGAAGGTCAGATATCAAAAGCAAAGAAACATTTTGTATGTGTTTTATTTGACCAAAAATGTTCCAAATTAATCCCTTCACTACTGTCTGAGGGTACATCTGTTCAAACAGATTTGTACTGATTTTTTTATTATAATGTGTTTCAAACTAAAATCCTGTATGGCATTTAAGACTTTAAGGGAGTGCTGTGCAGTACTGAACATGGACAGTTGTACATATCTTGCACAGAACTTTGAAAGCAGAACAGTTAATTTTATGAAATAATTCAAGGCCTGATTTTAGATCAAGTTAGCCCCAGCCTCTGTTTAAGTGCAGTTTTTAGCAAGCAAAATTACTTGCAATTCATGGCAGGTAAAAATAAATATATATATGCACATGGTTGAATGCAAAATTGTGCTTGCAAAAATGGGAGTCCACTCTAAAACTCAAGTCTCCATTGTTCATGGAATTCAAGATTACTGTTAATGCCATTGTCAATTGCTTTACTCCCATCTAGCTGGGATTTTCTGTTAGTAATAGTATTATTCATGAAGTCTTGAAAAGCTTCTGAGCACCTACCTAGACAAGGTTTTCACAGGGATAAAATATCCCCTAACTAAATAGATCCTAAAACAGGAGTGGAGGGGGGAGAAGCCCGCCAATAACACCATAAATAAAACCTCAAAAGGCAAACCGAAAAGTGAACAAAAACCATCTTTAGCCTCACAAAGAATGTCATTGATGTGATTTGGTAAGTGAGGAGAGCATTCCAAAGTTGCAGGCCCTTTGTGGAGAAAGTCCTGTCTTCTGCCCTCCTGTGATTATACAGTGGAACTACCAGCTGTTCCAGTAACACTGTTTTCAACTGCTGCGATGGGAAGGAAGTGAGGCAGCAGACAGTGCCTCAAGTAGATTGGCTTTTATATGCTAATACTAGGGCTGTTGATTAATTGCAGTTAACTCAAGCGATTAATTTTTTAAAAAATCACAATTAATCACAGTTTAAATTGCACTGTTAAATACCAATTGAAATTTATTAAATATTTTTGGATGTTTTTCTACATTTTCATATATATTTTATTCTGTGCTATAAGTGAAATCAAAGTGTATATTATTTTTGCTTACAAATATTTGCACTGTAAAAATGATGAAAGAAATAGTATTTTTCAATTCACCTCATACAAGTACTGTAATGCAATCTCTTTGTCGTGAAAATGCAACTTACAAATGTAATTTTTTTTTGTTACATGACTCCACGCCAAAAAAAAATAAATCCCATGTAAAACTTAAGAGCCTACAAGTCCACTCAGTCCTTCTTCTTGTTCAGCCAATCGCTAAGACAAACAAGTTTGTTTACATTTAAGGGAGATACTGTTGCCCGCTTCTTATTTACACTGTCACCTGAAAGTGAGAATAGGCATTTGCATGGCACTTTTGTAGCTGGCATTGCAAGGTATTTACATGCCAGATATGGTAAACATTCATATGCCCCTTCATGCTTCGGCCACCATTCCAGAGGACATGCTTCCATGCTGATGATACTCATTAAAAAAATGAGCGTTAATTAAATTTCTGACTGAACTCCTTGGGGCAGAATTGTATGTCCCCTGCTCTGTTTCACCCACATTCTGCCATATATTTCCTCTTATAGCAGTCTCGGGTGATGACCCAGCACATGTTGTTCATTTTAAGAACACTTTCACTGCAGATTTGACAAAACGCAAAGAAGGTACCAATGTGAGATTTCTAAAGATAGCTACAGCACTCGACCCAAGGTTTAAGAATCTGAAGTGCCTTCCAAAATCTGAGAGGGACGAGGTGTAGAGCTTGCTTTCAGAAGTCTTAAAAGAGCAACACTTCAATCTGGAAACTACAGAACGCAAACCACAAAAAAAAAAAAAAAATCAACTTTCTGCTGGCGGCATCTGATTCAGACAATGAAAATGAACATGCGTTGGTCCACACTGCTTTGGATTGTTGTGGAGCAGAACCCATCATCAGCATGGACGCATGTCTTCTGGAATGGTGTTTGAAGCATGAAGGGACATATGAATCTTTAGTGCGTCTGGCACATAAACATCTTGCAACGCCGGTTACAACAGTGCCACGAGAATGCCTGTTCTCACTTTTGGGTGACATAGTAAACAAGAAGTGAGCAGCATTAGCTCCTGCAAATGTAAACAAACTTGTTTGTCTGAGCGATTGGCTGAACAAGAAGTAGGACTGCGTGGATTTGCAGGCTCAAAAAATTTACATTGTTTTATTTTTGAATGCAGATTTTTTTTAGGTAATTCTACATTTGTAAGTTCAACTTTCTTGATAAAGTGATTGCACTACAGTACTTATATTAGGTGAATTGAAAAATATTATTTTTATTGTTTTTTTACAGTGCAAATACTTGTAATCAAAAATAAATATAAAGTGAGCACTGTACCTGTTGTATTCTGTGTTGTAATTGAAATCAATATATTTGAAAATGTAGAAAACATCCAAAAATATTTAAATAAATGATATTCTATTATTGTTTAATAGTGTGATTAATTTTTTTAATCGCTTGACAGCCCTAGCTAATACGCTACAAAAATCAGACTGAAGAAAACCCTTAAAATTTAATCATATGCACTCTTTTAAATCATTATTTTAAAAGACTGTAGTGACATTTCTGAATGTTTGAGTAGGGTACTGGAACAATTTTTGTAGAAAGGGTACTGAGAGCCATTGAACCAAACTGTTCCAGCACCTGGGTGTGTGAGACTGAGGGACCTCCAGAAAAAAACTAATTTCTAGGGGGGATGAGGGGAGAGACACAAATCTGTTTCTTTAAATATTGACAGGATTGAAAGTTCTGTTCAAAATCAACTCTTTATTACTTAGATTAAATTTGCCTTTCTGCAGTATAGAATGATTTTGAAGAGAAAAAACACCACGGCTTGCTGGTATAGGTTGTACTCCTTTTATTTGTCAAATCTGAAAAACTGACATTAGTTAGGAGGGGAAAAAAGGTCAAGTAGGTAACTGGACTCCATGGGAATAAGGGAAGGAGAAAGATGTGATGTTGAACTATTTCATGACTCTGCAGTGCAAATGTCATCTGTTGCCATCATTTTTTTCAATTAACCTTGCGAGGCTCCTAATAAGAATTCTTGTAGCACAACCTGCCTGATGTTCTTTAAACCATAAAGGTTGTATAATAATCTAAAGTGTCACATTGACCTTAATTTTGATTATTGTCTAAGGATTTATTAAACATATTTGCTAGTTATGAATCAGTGTTTAAGCTTATCACTGTTACACTGGGCTCTTGCCCATTCTCTTTATTTGAATCTTGCATACTGATCATTACAGGATTTTTAAAAGTTTGTTAGTAGTTACATGCAATTAAGTTAAATTGAAAAGTCACACCCTGATTCAGAAATCTGTTTAGAAAGACATTTTACTGGTTTCATGGAATGGAATAGAAGAGAGCGAACTACTTACCAGTAAGTCCCATTGACTTCAATGGAACATGTTTAAGTGCTTTGCTAAATTGGGGCCTCAGTGGTACTTCAGTGGCAGCACCGCATATGCTAGGACTGCAAATTTGTCCCTATTCACGTTAAGGAGAGCTAAAGGCAAGAGCCCTCACATCAAGATGAGCCAGCTTTTAGTACCGTAGGATCATGAAATGGAATGGGTTAACTTTAGCAGGTAGCTCTGAAATCTAGAACCACATTTTTGTGGCTGCGGTGGTCCAGCTGGGATAAAGTCATTGTCTGGGAAAACCGAATTCTGTTACCAACCGGAGTCCAGTGAGCAAAAGTTTCCTGTGATAAGTCACTGATAATGCAACAGAACATACAATACATGTTTTCATGTTGGCTGACTATATCACTAAAAGCTATATGACCTTATATACCGTTGTAAAACTGGGGTGCTACTATGACAAATAAACCATTATTAATAGTAATGCTTACCACTTATAAAATGCTTTACAAGTTCACAGTGATTTTTCAGCATTAATATAATGAATCAGATTAATGCAACCAAATCAAGTGTTGTTGGCCACTCTTTTTTTATTTTGATGTTCCCTTTCAGTGTCATTGCAGGATATTACAATGAGAAAAGCTTTCCGGAGTTCCACAATTCAAGATCAGCAGCTATTTGACCGCAAGACTCTGCCTATTCCTTTGCAGGAGACTTATGATATTTGTGAACAACCTCCCCCACTCAACATACTCACCCCTTACAGGTAAGTGTGAAAAATCAGAAAAAAATCCTTTTTTCCCCCCAGTAACGTATAGCAATATTCTTGACATCCTTACTCATGTTGAGTAGTACCATAGTCTTGGAGTAGTCCATTCACAACAGTGAAACTACTTGAGGAGTAAGGATGGCATAATCTGGCCATCAACATTAAAACTACTGTGAATTTTATGCCCAGCTAACATTGGTAAGAAAAGCAATTCTAAAGTTCCATATTTGTTAAACACTGTGCTTCTACTGAAAAAGAGAAGGAAAGTTAAAGCTAAATTCCTTTTAAGATGCATTCTGTTTCTGCCAAGGAGTACTATATTGTGTATACAATCCTGTGACTTGAATCTTATATGGTGTGACCAACTTCACAATAGCATCTATGAGAAAAGGGGAAAAATAATTCCAAAAGAATTGTGCATTGTTGCCATGTTCAGTGGTTTCTGGCAGAGCACAGTCAAAACCCCATTTCATTTTAAGACTTGATACAGCAAAATTAATTGAAAAGAAATTTATTCTCTTCCTGTGACATTGACATTCAAGGCAAATTTGATGCCAAAGAGCACATAATAAAATGGAAAAGGCATTGATTTTTAGTCCATTACAGGTTTCTATTTATTGGATAATAATAATATAACATGACAGTAAGAATCTAACTTTAGAAAACAGGTGATTACACTGTTGTGGTTAGTACAAAAAATGAGCTGAGGGTTTGTTGCTTTTCTAAAATTATGTTGAATGCCTATTTACATGAAAAACTGGTCCCGCAACTTGTACTTACTGTGTTGGGAGATAGATTAGAGTCACATTTTAAAACAATTTAGGGTGAGTGGATTCATTTATTCGGGATACTTGTTATCCCACAACTAGCATTAAAACTTATTTCTCAAATAAGGATCTGACAACAAGAAATAATGGGGGAGGAAGGTTTTAGAGGCACCAATATGAGAGTATTAGTACTTGAAATAACTAACTGAAATAATAAAAGCTGAGCATACAGAGGAAGAGAGAGAGGCAAGGTGTCTGGATTTTCCAGCATAAAGGTTTAATACAAAAAGCAGGAGAATTAGTCTATCATAGATTTCTAGCCTCAGTAGAGCTGTTTGCAGATCTTATAAGCCAAAAGGGACCCCTAAAATGCTCTAGCAAACTACAACAGAAGGAAAAAGTGGCTTCACTGAGGTAGACTTTACCCTGTAAAATACACATAATCTTTCCTTCTTTCAGCTCTGTTTTTTGTGAGTCTCCAAATGAACCTGGCTGTCCATGTTAGAGAGGCTTATTTATTTATCTTTAACATGTGTACTGATCTTTAGTATAATTTTAAATCTAATTATTATGCTTCAGGTAAACTTTTGTTGTAATAACTTTTTTGATAATGTACTCGAGGCAGAAACCCTGAATATTGTGTTTTAAAATGATGGCTACAGCTACCTGAATAAGCTGTCTTTACATTGCCTCAGCATTTAGTCCCATGCACTACCAAATAAACAGTATGTTCTATCTTGATAATTTTACCTCAGAGATGATGGAAAAGAAGGTTTGAAGTTTTACACCAATCCTTCATATTTCTTTGATCTATGGAAAGAAAAGATGTTGCAGGACACCGAGGACAAGAGAAAGGAAAAGAGAAAGCAGAAGGTATTATGTTCCAAGCTAAATAGCTGTGGGTTATGTTTGCTTGCACATATGATACTTCAGTGGTTCTGCAATTTAAAAAGTTCAGTTCTTTATATAGACAAATAGCCAGTTTCAATATGCTTGAAAATATTCTCAATGTCATTCGATTCAATCAATTTTTCCTTGCAATAAGACACCATTAAAAGAGCCCAGGGTTTTAATGCTGTCTCACCATAGTTAACAGCAGGTTTACCAAATGTTATGATTTCCTCACAACAGTAAAAAATCTCTAACTGACATACAACAAGAATCCAAGGATGTCTCTGGAGTCTTCTTTTAAAATATGAATTCCCAACCGTTTTATAGAGAAAGTTGTTTGGAACCTTTTTGAGAAATGTTTACTATAAATTAGCGTTAATATGCTAGAAAGGGAACATTTTAATTGTAAAGAAAGAATAAAAAACTGAAGGGAAGCACTGCTACATGCTTGTTTTTTGCCGTTTATATCCTACATATTTCATAGCATAAGTATGGTATCTTGTAGAATGCAAATGTGAGAGAGACATTCAGAATCTCATTTAAGACATATTGCAAGCCAGTTTTTTAGATTTTGAATGAACTTAATACCATCAGTTGGTTATTCTTTAGCTAAGTAAGTATCATATAAACTGAAGTGTCTCCCTCTGTTAGGCCTTCATTTCCTGTTCTGGTTTGAATAAATTTTTTTTCTTGCGCTAGAATCAAGATCTCTCTCTATTTTGTAACTGATTTTAAAAGCATTCCTCTTTTAAAAGACTGTCAGTTTTGTTTGCATAACTCTTACAGCAGAAGAATCTAGATCGCCCTCATGAACCGGAAAAAGTGCCCAGGGCGCCTCATGACAGACGGCGAGAGTGGCAGAAGTTAGCCCAAGGTCCAGAGCTTGCTGAGGATGATGCTAATCTCTTACATAAGCACATTGAAGTTGTTAATGGCCCAGCCTCACATTTTGACTCAAGGTTTCTTTTGTTTCTTTCCTTCCTTTATTTTGAGATATTCACCTTATCCTTGGCTAAATATATTTATGATGTAAATGACTGTATATGGGGTGCAGTACTCAGAATGCAGTGGTGATAACAGAACTACCTCTACCAAAAGAGAATTTTGAAGTTCTTTCACCCAGGTGTTTTAAATGGTTTATTATCTTGTCATTTTAAAGAATAATTTATATCTCTGGAATTCGTTGCTATGGGGGATGTGGAGGTGTGTGTCATTGTTACTCATTTATCAGTCTAACATACTGGTGCAGGCTTGCACACAGATCTGTCACTGTATTTCAGTCCTGAACTTCAACCACCCCCGTTATTCTAGTCTTCTGATTTACTTGAGCATAAACTGCCAGTATTATGTGGTGGTTTTGTGATGTGAACAAATTATCCACTTGGATGAGACCACTGAACTTATTTACTCTTGATTGAATCTAGAATTTGATTGAAGTTTCTGCAAACCTTAACGTGCTAAATTCTCTTTTCATAATATACTTTTGCGGGTGGCTGACAGTAGCATTTCAGGTGACATACCTGTAGTGTTTGTGCAAAACCAAAAGCATGTAACCAACTGAGGAACTGTACTATGAAAGAGAGCTGACTCTCAAGTAATATTAATCTTGAAAATTAAAAAGAAATAGGGTTTTTTTGGAAGGGAGGGGCTTGTTTTTTGTTCAGCCTTTTAAATAAGACAATTTTTAAGATTATCTGGTAGCCCTATTAATAGTTGTTGCCTGCTGCAGACTGTAGGATCCAGGATGTTGTGTCTGAAATAAAAAACCTGCCACTTGAGAACTCTGACCTAGTGAGACCTCGATTTACAGTGATGTAGAATGAAAAGTCAAAAATGGTTTCAAGTGCATTTCAATTTGTAATTTACAACTCAGGTTTTGATGAAACCCTCCCTAAAGTGCAGCTCTTCTGTGAAAAAAAACCCTATAGGTGTATTTCACTGTGTTAGCTGCCCATAATGAGTACATCACCTTCCCTGCCACACCCCTCATGCAGGTATATGCCAGATTCCACAGCAAAGTGATTGCAGAACCACTTGAAAACTCGGAGCCCCAAGGATCAACAGTGACAATCTAGGTTTTTAAGGTCAGGCTTGACAAAGCCCTGGCTGGGATGATTTAGTTGGGGATTGGTCCTGCTTTGAGCAGGGGGTTGGACTAGATGGCCTCCTGAGGTCCCTTCCAACCCTGATAAGCTATGATTCTATGAATACTGTGCTTAGACATTACAGTCATGAGCACTATCCAGAAACCTACAGTAGAACCACCAGCAGTTAGAAAGTGTTCTGCAAACACTTTTCCTCCGATTTCAGAGAAATTGTGATCTTTATCAACATTTTAATTAAACAGTTACATCTGTAAACATTTCTTAATTGGTGTTGGATCAGATCTTTAAGACATAAACAGAGGTTGATTTTAACAGGAGACTGAAGTATTTTAAGCTGTTGATGAGTTATCTTTATTTTACTGCTACTACATTATAGTACACTTTAAGTTATCTTGTTGAAGTATATTAGCTTGCAACGTTGCGTTTGGGAGGAGATCAGCGGAACTCTACCTGTAAGTTGTGTGTCCACAAGACAGTCCAACACAGTAATGTCTTGACAAATGTTTTATAAAACTGTTAGAAGTACTACAATATATGATGTATGGCTATATAATTTAGAAAAGTAGTAAAAGAATGTTTGCATATGAAAAGATTGTGAATCACAAACCGCTACAGGTACATGACTGTTTCATACTGTAAACCTGTTTCTAATAACACTGTTATGGTTGTTTAATTCAGTAAAGTCTGAACAATAAACATTAACATCACACACACATACTATAGGAATTGTATGGGTTTACCAATGAAAAATTGTTTTAACGTTTGAATTGCTAGAAACAGTAGGGCAGAAAGGGAAAAGAAAAAAAATTAAAAACCACAGTTTGATTGGCATGTCTTGTGCAGAGAGGGAATTTAATTCAGAGATCAAACTGAAGTATAATATAGTAGCTGAGCTGAGTAATGAATGATTTTGTCTGTGATCATCAGCAAGACAATTTTGAAGTGGAAAATTGCCTTTATTTTTTCTTAGACCTCAGCCATATGTGGATCATATGGATGGATCCTACTCCCTTTCTGCATTACCCTATAGTCAGATGACTGAACTTCTGAGCAGAGCTGAGGAGCGAGTGTTGGTCAGACCACATGAGCCACCACCCCCTCCACCAATGCATGGAGCAGGAGATGTGAAACCCATACCTCCTTGTATTAGGTAAGGAGTCAAGTTTGGAACAACTTTTCAACAATAAACTGACGTACATCTCTGAAAAAGGTCCAAATACGCAAGACTATGCTGTGAAGAAGCAAGCAGCATCATTATTGTACTTGATTTCAGCCCAGAGAGCAACATAGACCAGAAGTTCTCAGACTGGGTGGAGGGCTGTCCTGGGAAGGGGGCGTGCAATGCTTTAGGGGGGAAAAAAACATACTGCATGTATTTTACCCACAGCAATGAGTAACTAGCAAATCTGATTCCTCCAGACATATCAGGTTCTCAGATGGCGCTGTGCATTTTGACAGATTTCTGTTAAGCTTGCATAGCATTGTACAACATCATTCATTACTATCTGTACGTTATTCCATTTGCTACAACGCAGTCTGCACATTGAATTATAAGCTTCCACCACAGTCGCAGTTTTGCTTTTGCTCTTATTACAATGGATCGTTGGCTCTGTTTGAATCAATGGTTTACTGGTTTTAGTTATTAGTCAGAGTTGCACGCTGATTTTTTTTTTTTAAATCTGTATATGTTCATGTGTGGTGAGGGGGTGTGTAAACTAGAGACACAAAGAAGGGGGAGTGCGATCAAATAAGTTTGAAAACCACTGACAGACAATTGTCTACAAAATAGATTAAATTACAGACATCGTTTCTCTTTATGCCTTTCTAACACTGGGTGGAATATTGGGATACCATCTAAACCAATCATCCTGACAGTATTTTTCCATGTAACTTCATATCCAAGCAAAGTCATACTTTATGGATTATATTTTTATAGGGTTCCCCTTACCTTTATCTGGAATATACAAGAGTAGATCTAGAGTATGTTATGTCAGCAAAATAGTTTAATGTCTGTCCAAATGAAAGTATTTCCACTATCCCAGGGCTATACACAGAAATATGTCTCTTTTATTGGGTTAACATTTTCTTGTTATGAGTGTTAAATTTTCCTACCTGGGTATTCTGATTGAGAAATTCCTCTAGCAGTTTATACTTTAAAAAACAACATTTACAGTCATCTCTTGTCTCTTTGAGGACTGAAAAGGGTCCTACACTGAATTAGACAGGAGTGTCTTATGTGTATATAGCTACACTTGACTAATTTTGTACGGTACCACTGGACCTGTCAACGAACTTAAACCCATATCTCAGTTTCAAAGTCAGTTTATCTAGGTAATCATTCTGTAAAAATAGTCCCTTTAGAATAGGGCTTTCAAACGATTAAAAAAACATAATGGTAATTAATTGTGAGATTTAAAAAAATAACTGCAATAAATCACAGTTTTAATTGTACTCTTAATAATAAAATACATTTATTTAAATATTTTTGGGTGTTTTCTACATTTTCAAATATATTGATTTCAGTTATAACACAGAATACAAAGTGTACATTGCTGATTTTATATTATTTTTATTACAAATAATTGCACTGTAAAAACAATAAACTTGCTGATGACATGTTCATTTTCATCATCTGAGTCAGATGCCACCAACACAACGTGGTTCCAGTTCTGTAGTTTCTGCATGTTCCACACCTTGTCCCACTCAAATTTTGGAAGGCACTTCAGGTTCTTAAACCATGAGTTGAGTGCTATAGCTATCTTTAGAAATCTCACATTGGTACCTTCTTTGTGTTTTGTCAAATCTGCAGTGACAGTGTTTTAAAATTGAACAACATGTGCTAGGTCTTCATCTGAGACTGCCATAACACAAAATATAAGGCAGAATGTGAGTAAAACCAGAGAGCAGGAGACATACAATTCTCTCCCAAGGAGTTCAGTCACAAATTTAATTAACACATTTTTTTTTCTTTAAACGAGCGTCATCAGAATGGAAGCATGTCCTCTGGAATGGTGGTCAAAGCATGAAAGGGCATATGAATGTTTAGCATATCTGGCATATAAATACCTTGCAAGTCCAGCTACAAAAGTGCCATGCGAACACTTGTTCTCACTTTCAGGTGACACTGTAAGTAAGAAGCAGGCAGCATTACCTCCTGGAAATGTAAACAAACTTTTGTCTTAGCAATTGACTAAACAGGAAGTAGGACTGAGTGGACTTGTAGGCACTAAAGTTTTACATTGTTTTGGTTTTGAGTGCAGTTAGGTAACCAAAAAAAAAAATCTACATTTGTAAGTTGCACTTTCATGATAAAGTGGTTGCACTACAGTACTTGTATGAGGTGAATTTCTTTTCTATTTCTTTTGTTTATCGTTTTACAGTGCAAATATTTGTAATAAAAAATAATAATATAAAGTGAGCACTGTACACTTTGTATTCTGTGTTGTAATTCAAATCAATATATTTGAAAATGTAGACAAACTTCCAAAAATATTTGTAATAAATTTAAATTGATATTTTATTATTTAATAGTGCAATTAAAATTGCAGTTAATCGTGATTAATTTTTTAATCGGGTTAATTTGTTTTGAGTTAACGGCAATTGACAGCCCCACTTTAGAATAAAGGGAATTAATCAAGACTGCCACATTCTACGAGCTTGTCCTCATACTTTGAATAAATCTCTGGATTTACTACTATGTGTAGGGAAAATCTTACTTACTGTAGGAAACCTTAGATAAGAGAAAAACTCAGCTATTTGCCTGAGTATATGTATAGGCTAGCAAGGAAAAGGCTGGTGTATGTTCTACCCAAACAATTAAAAACTAGCCTTTAGATTTGGTAAATTTGATTTCATGGGGATCTACAGTAGCCATGCAGTTGTCACGTCAGTACATTTAGCTTTTTTATAACCCTAATTACTGATCTTAAATATTAACAAGCAAAAAAACTGTAAATATAATTATATTAGCCAGTTTTTCCACTTTGTGGTTTTAGTAACTGGTCCTTCTGTTGTGTGTTTCAGCTCCACCACAGGTTTGATAGAAAATCGTCCTCAGTCACCAGCAACAGGCAGGACACCAGTGTTTGTGAGCCCCACACCTCCCCCTCCTCCTCCTCCTCTTCCATCTGCTTTGTCAACTTCTTCACTGAGAGCGGCAATGACTTCCACCCCTCCCCCACCCATGCCCCCCCCACCACCACCTCCAGCAGCTGTTTTGCAAGCGCCAGCAGTGCCACCTCCACCAGCTCCTCTCCAGATTGCTCCTGGAGTTCTGCATCCAGCTCCTCCTCCAATTGCACCACCTCTGGCACAGCCCTCTCCTCCAGTCACTAGAGCTGCCCAAGTATGTGAAACTCTCCCAGCTCAGCCAGTTCCACAAGCTGAAGTGCAAGGACTTCCTCCACCCCCACCACCTCCTCCATTGCCTCCCCCTGGCATTCGGCCCTCATCTCCTGTCTCAGTTGCCACCCTCCCTCACCCTCCCACAACCATTGTTCCTGGCCCTCATGCTCCAGTCATGCCTCCATCTCCACCATCCCAAGTGATTCCTGCTCCTGAACCCAAACGCCATCCATCAACTCTACCTGTAATCAGCGATGCCAGAAGCGTTCTACTGGAAGCAATACGAAAAGGTAACGTTTGGCCACTAAAAGAACAACAGAAGTTGGTCTCAGCAGTTTAATAAAACGAATATACTTTTAACAGATGGAATAATGTACACCTCTGGAAAAAAGATTTGACAAGAGTATCTTAAATCTGGTGTGCTTTGTATTCTGCACAATATTTGTATTCTGCAGCTTGCCAAGTAGACAGATTTTGTTCAACTCATAATTGCACCTATCAGGAGTGTAGTTTAGAATGCAAAAACCAGTTCTCCATAAAAGTTGGCTAAGGAAATGTATATGTTACTAGATGATCTATGGAGATTATCTTTTCATTTCTAATTATTTGAAGAGTATCTCTTGATACATTTGTTCCAAGTTGTGTGGAAAGCAAAAATGTCAAGAATATTTTTCACAACAGCTATTAGCTAAGAGCAGAGCAGACAGACTGGCATATGGGTTTTAATCCTGTTTTTATGTAAGTATTCCTCACACACATTACTGCAGTGCAATAACAATGTAAGGACATATTCAGCAGTTTTTTTAAAAGATTAAATCAGTAAGGGTTTTGTTTTGTTTTGTAACTCTGAGCTGCCTAGTGGACCAGTGGGTCCCAGAACCATCTTGCCAACAAAAGGCAGGAGAACAAAAGGGATGGGGGAACCTTCTGGGGCAGTACCTTACTGATGCTCTCCTATCTTGCACATTCTTCACATTACAACATGTGCACTGGTGGTCTAACCATGAACCGTTAGGACTGGGGGTGCTGGTGCATGGTTATAGGGTCTCTTCTAGTGCTGCCCTCAACACTAGTTGGAATCCTTCTCCAATGATTTTAGGTACACTGGGAGAGGCTTCCCTGCATACTCTTCAACATACAGAGCAGAATTTGTACTTGGAGATATAACATGGTTTACAATAAGCAAGTGTTTTCTAGATTAGAGCAGAGAAGTGAGAGAGGATAGACTCCTGGGTTATATCCCCTGCTGCAAATAATGTTACCTAAGGAAAGTCACTTGTCTTAACCTCTTTATACCTCACTTTACTCAACTAACAGGACACGGAACAGTATAAATCAAAGGGGTCTGAAGGAACTTCAGAATGAAGTAATTGAGGTGCTTTAAAAAAAATGCAATCTTTCTGTGAAGTAAGCCACTATACCAGAGAACTGGATGGTAACAAATGATAAATATATCTTTACAAAAACTGGTCAGGATGATCTTGGGAATCAGACTAGTTAGCTTTGCTCTAGTACCAGTAAATGGATTGAAATGACAACTAAAAACATAGGTATAGAACACCTACATCTAATAACTAGCATGAATTCTCTAAAAGGAAATCATTCCTCTCTAATCTGTTAGAATTATTTGAACATGTCAGCAAAAAAGCATATAAGGAGAACCCACTGGCATAATTCATTTGAGTTTCTAAAACCTTTTGACAGAATCCTACAGAAGACACTATTAAGAAAACTAAGTAACCATGGGGGTGAAAAGTAGAGTAGTGTCATAGATTAAAACCTGCCTAAAAGCTAGGAAATGGAGTAAACAGATTTTTAAACGTTTGCCCTGTTGAAGACTGATCGAGTGCTCGACGGCTCCTTACTAGAATCTTTGTTTAACACTGTGGAGGCACCAATCGGCACACCATAGTTAAGGATGAGTTCCATTTTGTGGTTAAAGCAGGGATTCAGCCTCCCCAGCATTTACTCTTTGGGTATAGAATGAATTTTCTGAAATGAATCAGTTAATGAGTTTGCATTAAAATCAAATTTAAAACGAGTTGTGTAAGACATAACATTTGTCAGTCTTTTCGTGTCCCAAATGCTTTTAACAATAATCTTGCAAACTCTTCAAATTTCTTTAGCTAAAATTCATTGAAATCTATTGTGCCTATACTATATACTTGGAAACAATTAGGTTGTAATTAAGTAAAGTTATTAATGATTGTTATGATTTTAAAAGTTACGGTCAGCTCACCAGCTCAGGTAACTTAAATGAGGCCTTTGTGACATTAGAAGTAACTCTACCGATCACCACCCTTTCTCTGTAGCTATTTTGCATGCAAAAAAATTCTGTTGCTTGTAAGGACTCAGTGGCATAAGGAAAACTGGACATGTGTGCCAAGAATGCTTATTGGTAGGAAGTTACTTTTAAAGGGTCTGTGGCCACATGCTACCTTGGACATCAGCGTTTGAAAGGCTCCCCATGGAACTGCTGCCTCCACTGCACTGCACACCCGACAGTGGCAATGCATCAAGGGCGGCACGCAGGGTCAAGTGCCCCCCACCCACACCCCCCAGCAGCCATAAGGGGCGGGGACAGTGCTACTTCTGGCCGTGCTGGGACGTTGCCCAGTACAACACAGCAACTGCCTCGGAGAGCACCTGGCTGTAGCAGCGGCGGGCTGCCCCCTGCCCAGGTGGGCTTCCCAGGACTGCGGCTGAGCAACCCAGAGCCCCCACTGCTCCCTGGCATGCTTGGAGTCAGCCCCTGTCCACTGAAGCTGAGCCTGGGCAAGGAGTCGGCTGCCACCCCTCCCCAGCCAGCTCTCTCCCAGGGAAGGAGCAGTGACCTGGAGTGGCTCTGGCCTGCTCCCTGCCAGGGAGGGCAGCCAAAGGTGCCAGAGGCGGGAGCCGGTGCAGTGGGAGGACAGAGCCCGCCACCCCCCCACCCACACACAGGTAACATGGGGCAGGGGGGAGTACAGTGGCTCCAGGCTCGGGGTGGGGACAGGAGGGGATGAGGCATGTTGGCAGGTAACGTATCCTCCCCTTTAGCTGGTGCCCCCCACACCAGTATGGGGAGGTACCAGTCATGTATAATTCACCAGGGCAGCCCTGCTGGGGGAACTGAGGTTCCTTAAAGTGCAGAAACGTTGGAACTCAGACTCAGATTTCCTCATCTCTCCTTTCACAGAGAGAGGGGTCTCTGTAACACACCCTTCTATATAAAAATTCAATTGCAATTGCCAGATTCACCAGTAGACTTCAGCTGTTTCGCCCTGTGCTTTTGCACTGCTGAATCTGGCCTTAAAAGAATAATTTTTTTTTAAGATTCATACTATACACCTTCAGATTATGAAAAATATCACACACTATTTTCTTTGGAAATGGACATTTTTAGTATTTCATTTTTTAAACAAGGACATTCCCAAACAAAACACTATATTAAGTGAGAGTTGCGGTTCAGAGTATGAAACTTAAGGTAAAAAATACAGCAGAGGGGTTTTAATTATTCCCAAACCTAGCATTCCAAGCCAGGAAATTCAGATTTAAGATTACACATAAAGGCAATCCAAGTATGTTAAGATACTCAAGCAACCTTAAGTGAAACCATGAAGAGAAAAAAAAATATGAAAAAACTATTTAAAAATCAGTTTAATTTAATCTGGGAACATAGATACTGAAATGTTTTGATCATAATCATATAGTTATTGTATGGTGTCACTACAGAGTTACGGTTTTTAGGGTTTATTTCTCAGAAATATCTACTACAAGCTACTTTCAGAGGCAGGATAGTGTACTACATGGACTTCTGATCTAGTACAGCAATTCCTATTCTTAAAATGAATATAATATTAGTTACCTCTCTGACAGGCAGTGTTCTCAGACAATTCGTTTTTGTTTGCTAAGCAAGTTGAGAGCTGTTGGTAAAAGTATTACGCATAAGAACAAGGAATTTTTTATTATTATTATTATTATGTTTGTGATTTAGGTATTCAGCTACGCAAAGTCGAAGAGCAGCGTGAACAAGAAGCTAAACATGAGCGCATTGAGAATGATGTTGCCACTATATTGTCTCGCCGCATTGCTGTGGAATACAGTGATTCAGAAGATGATTCAGAGTTTGATGAAGTGGATTGGTTGGAGTAAAATAGATGCATTGATATACACTGAATGCTAATGTCCATTGTGGTGATTGTTCTTTGAAAACATTTGATGGTCATTTCTAGTGTTTTTTGTATTTTTTTTCTTTACACTACACATCATTAATCCATGTTTTTCTACTTTTCAGTTTACAAGAAAATTACTAGCACATCTTTGAAACGAAATGTTTTACAGTGGCTTTTCTTTTTCTGAAAGAACATATTTTGTTCCAATAGACCACTAAGTATTAAGCATGGGCAGCTGTTGGTAGAGTAGCAGTTTCAATTTTTTGGCATATCTTAACTGTGCACTTTGTGAATTTTAAGTTAATGAAGGTAACTGAGATTGAAATTCCGAGGGCAGCTGTATGTACTAATGAGCCTTATTCCATTTTTGATAAATGTTTTTAAAAACCTAGCTATCAAGATATACATCTGTACACTAAGAAGGTACATAAAGTTAGCAGCACTGAACACAATGAAAGGAAAAAAGGATCTTTGGGGGCTTTTATTGTTGTTTTTTAAATAATTATGGCCTTATTTGAATGTTTAGAGGTTTCCCCCTCCCTCCCAGGTACATATCGTGTGGTACTATTTTGCCTGCATACAAAAGTTCAAATTTTTTCTGTGTGAAATCTTCTGACTTAAACATGCTGTGTAACTTATGTAACTGTTAAAAATAACAGTTTGGTTTAATAAATGGTAAATGTTCTTAGCTGTTGCTTTTTTAATAACATCACCCTTTTTCTGGCATTACTTAGGATCTGAAGGGTAAGATTTTCAAAAGTGCCTAAATCACGTAGTCTTTTTTTTATAATTATACTTAAGCTTCTAGTAACTTAGGTACTTTTGAAAATTTAACTCATGGTACGTTTGGGGGGGGGGGGCAATCATCAGAATGAATATGTTCCTGTGAAACAACACTGAAAGAACTAGATGATATTGCAAAATCATGTCTCATGCTGTCTAATTTATGCTGCATGTCAGCTACATCCATACACACAAAGCGCCAATGCAATTTTGGACTGAATTCAGAGTTCAAGTAAATGCAACCATGTATTCCACTTGTGTGTGCGCACCCAGTGCACTGGAGCCAGAGAATTTTGCCTCATAATACCCATAGAGGGGCAGCTCTCGCAGCTTATGGCCATAGCCCCTGGCTATATGAGGCGGTGCTTCCCCGACCCCCTTCTGTGGCTGGAGTCAGCTCTGTATGGTTTGTAACCGTGCACCTCTCTATTTCTTAGTGACTTTTTCCTAAAATATATATATATATAGTTAATTAGTACCCTTAGTATAGTGTTAGCTTTTGTTTAAGTATTTCCCTGGTGATGCCCTCACCATTGTGTGGGGGAGCATTCCCCACACCCAATGCTTGCTGTGCTTAGGCAAAGCCGACTTCAGGGAGCAGTGTTCAATTTGCAAATCATTCATGAAATGGTCTCAAGTTGCAAGAAATCTTCGTCTAAAGCAGCACCTGCTTCAGCACCCAGGCCTCTACTGGAGTGGAGGTCACCCTCAGGTTCTGAGAGCGCTGCCACTTTGCATCCTCCAATTGGTACCTCTCTGAAGAGAGTGAAGTTGCTGCCCGTCGAGCGTGTCAAGGAAAAGGTCACATAAGACTGATCGTGACCATTTCAGGTCACATGGGGACTTGTCTGGTTCCTCCAGAAAGATCACAGACTGGCATGGTGTGAATGCCAGTGCACGGGAGTAGGTCCTCTCAAACACTACCACGCAGGGAAGTCAGACTCCATACCATTGGCTCCGTTCTGGGCCTGGGGCATCCATTGAGTCTAGTACTGATATGGCCAATACTGGCACCAGCTGCTTTTGTTCTGGTGCCATATCAGGCAGCAATGGACCTCTTCTGCCTTTCTGTTCCAATCTTTTCCTTGGTCCAGGGCTGCATTTTTTATAGCCCCATTGGCCCCACAGGTTAGGGGCTTGCCCAGCCATCAGCACCAAATCCCAATGATTCCCTTCCACAGACAATGGAAGCGGGGCTGAGCTGGGCCAAAGTTACCTCTTCAGCACCCCTACTATTGATGCTGTCATTGTTAATGTGGTGGCACTCACTGCCCCCCACTTTGGGGGTTCAACACTACTTCCACCACTGGAAACAAAGGCATACTCAGTGCTTGCGGTACCATTTCCACCATTGATGCCAGTTCCTTCTTCATTTTGGCCTCCGAACGAGTCAGACCAGTTGCTCGCACCCTCAGGACTGGCTCCATCTTTATCTCCTGAAACCCAGGACTCCTCGACATCCAGTTTGGGATCGTCCTCCTGTTCACCATTGCCTGACCCATATTGGGGGCTGCTCCTAGAGCACAAGGGGTACCAGAATTGACACTTGTCATGGAACACCCCTCTGTTGCAGAGGTCCCACTCCTCAAGTTGTTCTAAGCCCACCGAGCAGGCCTGTGGCAGTGACCGTTGATTTGCCGCAGGCCCAGGCACTGTGACCCTTCCCCTCATGGAGCCTCCACAATCATCCCATCGAGGTCCATCAGTCCTGGAAAAGGACCCCATTCTGGAACAGTTAACTTCTTCGTCTTTGTCCCCAGACAATTCTGCAGTACCTGGTTCTTCCTCTTCTTCAGTACCAGAGGCTTTCAATGCATACCAGGACCTTTGTGGCATGTGGCTGCTTCCCTGGGTATTGAAGTGGAGTTTCTGCAGGAGAATATCCACAAGTTGCTGGATATCCTGCAGCCATTTGTCCCAGGAGAGTGGCCTTCCCTATTAATCATGATCTCCTAGAGCCTGCTAAGGTTCTCTGAAGCATGCTAGCTTCGGTACCACCTACTGTGAAGCACAAGGAGAAATGCCACTTTGTGTCAGTGCAGGGATCTGAGGGTTACTCACATCCAGCCCCAAACTCCCTGGTCGTAACTGTAGTCAAAAACAGAGCCCCGTAGGGCAGAGTTAAGTCTACTCCCAAGGATAAGGACTCTAAATGGATGGACTTGAAGAGTTGGAAGATTTACACCTCCTCTTCCCTTCCTAACAGATGAGCATTGCTGTCCAAATACAACTTCATGAACTGGACAGCTGTCTAAGTTTGTCGACCAGCTGCCCAAAGCCTTGAGGGTGGAATTTCGGGCATTTATTATCAAAGGCTGCTTGGTAGCTAAGAATTTGTTGCAGTCCATGCTGGATATTGTGGATTCTTCGGCCAGAGTCATGGCCTTTGCAGGGACCACAAAAGGGGCGTCCTGGCTGCAGAATTCAGGCATTGCTCCCAATATACAACAGGCCATACAGGATTTGCCCTTTAACAGCCTATTCCCTTTTTCAGACAAGGTGAATGAGACTTTGCACTGCTTCAAGGACTGTAGGGCTATCTTACGGTCCTTGGGGGTGCATATGTTGGCAGTGCAGAGGTGCCACTACAGTGGTCAACAGCAACAACAGTATCATCCGCAGTGCACATTTTGGGCAGCTTCTCTCTCCCACAAGACAGTGGGACTACCTCAGAAAGAGGCATAAGTCCCAGAGGAGGAGACATTTGGGTCTGGGTTTTGGACAGTTTACACGCCTTCCCCAGCACTCTTCAAGTACCTAGTTTGAGTCCTTGGTCCAAAGCAGTGTTCCAGTCATCACTCCCTTCTCCCCAACCCCTTCATTTGGGGACAGGCTGACTCACTTTTACAATGTTTGGGGCTCGATCGCTGCTGACAGTTGGGTCCTAAGCATTGTCAAATAGGGCTATGCCATCCAGTTCCCGTCCATTCCTCTCCACTTCCTCTTCAGTGGCTGCTCTCACAAAATACTGCTTGCTCCTTGAGCAAGTCCACTTTCTACTGGCTTTGGAAGTGGTGGAGGAGGTTCCACTGGAACAGTGGGGTCAGGGCTTCTATTCACAGTACATTCTGGTGCCCAAATCCAAGGAAGGGGTAAGACCCATTTTCAACCTCCATGGCCGAACAAATATATCAGATATATAAATTTCCACATGGTCACTCTATTGACTGTCTTCCCCATGTTGTCTCAGAACAACTGGTTTGCTCCTCAGGACTTTCAGGATGCCTACTTTCATGTGGCAGTTTTGCCAAGCCACAGAAAATTCTTTCAGTTTGTCATAGCAGAGTGCCACTTTCAGTATGTGGTGTTTCCCTTCGGTCTTTCTTCTGCCCCTGGGTTTTTACCAAATGCATGGTCATGGTGACAGCATACCTCAGAAAGGAAGGAATCCACATCTTCTCATACCTGGATGACTGGCTACGGAGGGGCAGGTGAAGTTCTTTCTCATATTGACATTACACTGAACTTGCTTGACAAGCTGTATTTGATCTTAAACACCAGAAAATCAACTTTGGTTCCCACCTCAAAAAAATCAAGTTCATTAGGGTGCTAATCGACTACGAGTTCAAGAGCATGTTTGCCGACCAACCGTTTTCAGACGATTTCCCACCTCTTTGCCTCAGTCTTCCACAATAGCGCAGATATACCTGAGGCTCTTTAGCCACATCCACTTGCACGCAGGTGGTCCAGTTTGCAAGTGGTCCACTTTACCTCTTCAAATGTGGGTCGGGACAGTTTACTGTCTGACTTAACTCCTTGGACAGATTGGTCTGTCTCCCTCCACTGATCCTGCAGTGCTGGATGCTTCCAGAGAATGTTTGTCTGGGCATTCCCTTTGTCTGGTGCTTACCAGCCAGGTCTGTTGTCACCAATGCCTCCCTCCCTGGGGAGAACATCTGGAGTCACTGAAAGTTCAAGTTCTATAGTCAGAGCAGGAGTCCTCACTGAACATCAATGCGCTGAAGCTTTGGGCCATCTATAATTCATGTCATGCTTTTCTGGACCATATGAGGGGCTCAGTGGTTCACATACTTATCTATAATGCCACCTCAATGTATTACATGACCATGTAAGGGGGAGCTCTGCCAAGAGGCAGTCAGGTTGTGGTAATTCTGCACTAAGGAGAGTATCACTCCGATAGCTGACCACTTGCCCGGGATCCAGAATCATCTTGCAGACCATCTCAGCAGGATTTTTTCCCTGAACCTTGAGTGTCCTCCAGGTCACCTTTGTGGCATGGGGCATTCCGATGATTGACCTGTTTGACACGAGGGACAACAGGAAATGGTATCTGTTCCACTCTTGAGGGGGCCTCAATCCAGCTCCCTGTCTGATGCTTTCAATCTCATTGCGCAGTCAACTCTCTCATATGCTCTTCCGCTGGCCAAGGCAGTACTGGTTCTCTGACCTCCTCGCATTGTCAGTTCAGCCTCCCATACCCCTTCCTCTCCATCCCAATGTCACACACAATCACGGCTGCTTCATGGCTAAATGAGGAGGAAGAGTGGTGTTCAGTGGCAGTTCAATAGGTCCTACTCAACAATAAAAAGCCCTCTACTAGAATGGCCTATTTGGCAAAATAGAAGTGGTTTTCGGTGTGTTCATTGACCTGCAGAATTCAACCGATGGCTTCTGTTCAGGGCAGCTTGGGGTGCCTGCTGCACCTTAAGTCGTCAGGACTTGCACTTAGTTCATTGAGAGTCATCTGGCAACAACATCAGCATTTCATCCCCCCCAGTCAGGGAAGGTCAGTTTTCTCCAGTACCACGGTAACAAGATTCTTAAAAGGGCTACTTTGTCTCCATCCTCCTGTCCAAGAGCTGGTTCCTCTGTGGAACCTTAACATGGTCCTAGTAGCTTTAATGGGACCTCCATCAGAGCCCCGGACATCTTGTCCCTTTC